ATTTATCAAGTGTTCATTTATGAGAGAGAGAGAGAGAGGCTGTGTATATATGAATTACCACCGTTTTGCCGCGTTTCTCTATTAACAGTGAAGCTGTGGCTTCAATTGCTTTAGAAACGCTGAGGTTACCAGCTCCTTGTTGAGAAAGATAATGTAGCTCTTCAGCGATTAAGCTATTTTATTGATAAAATTGAAGGGCAGCGCTAAAAATTTGTCTAAACGCAAAAAATAATGTCTGTGCATGCGCAGCGTGATCTAGTGACTAAACGTGGTGATACGTATCGTATCATGACTTTGCTGGTGATACACAGCCCTACGGGCCACGTGGACCAATAGGATTGGCGTTTTTTCACAAGTGCTTCAGACACCGGTCATGCTGGCAGCATTCCCCTTTCTCATTATAATGACTTCGATCTTAAAGGGGTCATATGATGTTGCTAAAAAGAACATTATTTTGTGTATTTGGTGTAATGAAATGTGTTTATGCGGTTTAAGGTAAAAAAAAAAAACACATTATTTTCCACATACTGTACATTATTGTTTCTCCTCTATGCCCCGCCTTTCTGAAACGCGTCGATTTTTACAAAACTCATCGGTCTGAAAAACGAGGTGTGCTCTGATTGGCCAGCTATCCAATGCGTTATGATTGGCCGAATACCTCAAGTGTGTGAAGGAAATGTTACGCCCCTCACCATACTGTTGATTCTAGTTGTGTCCTCTTTTGGAAGGCCAAACAAAGTAGTTTCACTTTCACAACGAGTGAGCGGAGGCCGTCGGCTAGAGTGAGCGGCGGCTAGAGTGAGAGGCGGCTTGAGTGAGGGGAGGCCGGCAGCTAGCGTGAGGGGCGGCCGTCGGCTAGAGTGAGCGGCGGCTAGAGTGAGAGGCGGCTTGAGTGAGGGGAGGCCGGCAGCTAGCGTGAGGGGCGGCCGGCGGCTAGAGTGAGCGGCGGCTAGAGTGAGAGGCGGCTAGAGTGAGGGGAGGCCGGCGGCTAGCGTGAGGGGCGGCCGGCGGCTAGAGTGAGCGGAGGCGGGCGGCTAGAGTGAGGGGAGGCCGGCGGCTAGAGTGAGGGGAGGCCGGCGGATTCGACGAAGGAGTGTCCGGAGGGCTTCCGGCAACCACATGTGACGACCCTGGGCTGGACTCTCGCTTTGTCCACGGTGAAAGCCGATCCGGCGATCCACAGCCAAAGTAGTACAACACTACAAAGTAGTTTTGTTTTCACAACAAAACGCACAGCGCCTTCATGGCATGGCAGCAGCAACAATAATAATAATAATAATAATAATAATGAGATACTTTCTATTAATAAGAAACTTAGTAGATAATAAGTAGATAAAAAAAAACAACCAATTAACTGTCCTGTCACTCATCGTGGCTGTTAGGAAACTCACTTTGTTGCTCAGCACATAAAGATGAACTACTTACCGTGATTTTAGACCGCGGTGATCTAGTTTCTCCACTGAATGGATCCTCATGTGTCTCTTCAAGTGACTTTTAAAAGCAAAACTCTTTCTACACTGATCACACATATGCGGTTTCTCTCTCCTGTGGATCCTCTCATGTTGTTTCTGATTTGATGACTGACTGAATCTCTTGTCGCAGTGTGAACACTTGTAAGGTTTTTCTCCAGTGTGAATAATCTGGTGCCGTTTTATACAGTTCGCTGAAATAAAAGTCTTCCCACACTCAAAGCACACATGCTCTCTCATACCAGTATGTATTTTCTCGTGTCTATGTAAATATGGCAGCAGTGAAAAACTCTTTCCACATACAGAACATGAATGCGGCTTCTCCTTCGTATGAACTTTCAGGTGTTTCTTCAGGACTGATGCCCAAAGAAATGTTCTGCCGCATTGATCACATGTGAACGGCCTCTCTCCGGTGTGGATGTTCATGTGCTCTTTAAGGTGTGCTAATTGTGTGAAGCTCTTCCTGCACTGATCACATGTAAACCCTCTTTCTCCAGTGTGGATCCTCATGTGAACTTTAAGACTTTCTCTATATGGAAACCTCTTCCCGCACTGATCACATGTGAACGGCTTCTCTCCAGTATGAACTCTCATGTGAATCTCAAGATGTCTTTTGTTTGAGAAACTCTTTCCACACTGAGTGCAGGAGAAAGATTTATTGGTCCTTGTTTTCTTTAAAAATGTATTTTTAGTCTTCGAGCGACTCGAAGGTTTTTCTCCAGGTTTGTCATGATGTTTCTCCTCCGCTTCACTCAGTTCTTCACTCTCCTCATTCTCTTTCTTTAGGTCTGAAATTAAAGAAAAAAAAGAAGTAATTTCATTTTCAGTACATCAAAATAATTCAACAGAAATTTGAAGTGAAAGGATATTAAAGTGAAAACTATTAAATACATTTAATCAACAACAGATTTATCTAACATAATATAAAAAATATACAACAGAGCCATCATTTTGACAGACTTTTAGATTGCTGTTTAATTAGTTTTACTAAAAACTTTTTATTATTGTAGGCCAGTCACACTAAACGTTTCCTTCCACTGATTTCCATTCATACGCATGTGAATGTGGGACGCTGCAAACACAAGCTCAAGTGAATTTTGCCACACTCCTGTTCCAAGTTTACAGTGTTTGTAGAAATTTCACAGGCTCAAAGTCTAAAGTGACTGCGGCATTAACTAGTGTTAAATTAACCATTTTTATTAACATTATCTGTAACCTACAAGTTTCACTCAAGTTACTTACGACTTCATTTCCCTCAAAAAAAAAAAAAACGTTAGCAAATTTTTGGTAACATGGTTGCAAAAAATTGTGATCCAGATATAATATAAAAGAGAGAAAATAATACATAGTTTGACAATCAATATGAACATTTGTTGAAAGACAAAAAAGAACATTTTGTATCTATTTCATAGTTTAACTAAATCTGATGAAGTGCTTGAATCTTTCTAACACGATATTTTTTTCAGCATCATGAATGAATGAGGAATGAAGAATAAACACCAACCTGTTAGTTCTTCAGTGTGTTTGATTCTGCAGGGTTCTGGATCCCTCATTTTCTCTCTGTCCTCTTTAAGAAATGATTCCTTCCTGATGCTTTGATGCTCGTCTGCACTTGTAAACTGATGGGAATATTCCAGCATTTATTGGGGAACTGCAGTGGGCGGAGCTTCATTGATAACGTGATTGCAGTGGG